CTCGTCTCGCGCGCGCGTCCGTAATTAATTCGTCGTCGCAGAGCTGACGGAAAGTCCTACGAAAAGAGAGCAGAGCCCAAGAGCAAGGACCTCCCCTTTCTTCCACCCTTCCCTTCCACCTTGCCTCTATCTAACTGCTCATTCTGTCTCGCCGCCCTCCCTTCCTCACCTCGCTCACGGGACTGGGGCTCTTTTCCTCACGGACCATCGGCGAAGTTCGTTCGTGGAGTTTAACCAGAGCTCGGCGCTATCGACCTGACAAGCAACCTCGGCGTCTGCGTCGACATCTGCGTCGCGCAGACGCCCCGCCGACACGGGCCGGGTTCACCAATCGATTTCAGATTTTCCAGCATAACGAGGCCGACTGCTGCCCAAAAATTCCGCCACATACACACACGCTATCTTCCTTAACCGAGCTGTCCCTCACCACGTCTACTCACGGTCCATTGTCTCTTTTCGTGCGACCGATGAAAGGACCCGTAACTTTTTTTCAGCATGTTATGAATAAAAAAAAAAGAAACTTCTATGACCTATTGATTTACTGTCAGATTTGTCCAATTATTTAAATGCTTTAATAAAAATATTTCCATATCACAGGATTTTTTAACTAGAGCGATAAAATTAAATATTTTAAATAATTTTCTAATAATTCTTAAATTTTTTTCTATTTGTTTACTCGAATTTTTTTTTTGAATATATACATACATATATATTGCGTGACATTCTTTAAATCTTTTTTTTTTGTTAAATATTAAATAATAATTACTATTCAATTAAAACTAATTTTTAAAATTCCTCTCGCACACACGCATACACACACACACACACACACACACACACACACAGAGATTGCCGCTCTAGCATTTTTTCAGCACATTCAATCTCACGCGAGACCTCATATGACAGTAACTATTTGATTGCTACCAACGCGATGGCTAACCTTTGATCAATTTTTAACAAGTTTGCCTGGAAACCGACCGGTCAAAAGTTCCCGTTCACATTGAGGTCATTCGCTTTTGGTTTCCATACTATTCCCTCTACCATTCTTTATTACTCGGCGCCTCGATGTAACTCTAAATTTGCGATTGAAAATTTTATAGAAATATTCCGAGCAAAATATCTCAAGAGATGATAATACGTAATCATGCGCGCACCTGGATAAGTATATTTGTCGAGAATAAATCTTTGATGCCCCTTGCGTTTACTTTGGCTGCTTTGTTTCGTCCTGTTTCTCAGAATACTATAGAAACAGCTCGATTATATGACCAGACGTGTTTCGCGTACAAACTCGCCGTATTCTAACGTCCAAATGATCACCACGTGCTCTTTCGAGTGTGTCTGTAAATTGTACGTGTGTTTTACGAAATAAAATAGCGCGATCATTCGATTAGATAATCATATAAATTTATCGACCTAATAATTTGGAGCACCGAGGACAATATAGAGAGCAATCGATTTGTCTCATCGTTAAATTTCGGAATGAAAAGTCTGAACAGCATCTGATGGAGATTTTAGTTACGTAAACAACGGTCACGAGTACTGCTCGTAAATACTATGATTCGTTTGCTTATTTTCCTTGACGAATATCGAAATTCCGGTAGAAATTCCGGTCTGCGATCAATCAGAATACTAGACCCACTTCCGTTCCATATTCCAGATTTTGCAGGCGTAATGAAGTCGACGTCAATCAAAGCTTCCCTCGAGTATAGAGCTCTCTCTCTCTCCCTCTCTTTCTCTCTCCTTCTTTTATTATTATTCTTCCGTGAAGAAACTCGTTCTTACGCAAATAGAAGCGCACCATGATTATTATTAGCAAAACCTTATAGCTTCCATTATTCAGGAGGCATCTCTGAATGTAGTCGTCGTTCTTCGCGTCCAAAGAATGTCGAGAGCTCTAATTTCCCAAATCAATCGTTAATTTTTATTGACTCTCAGGAGACGATATCCTAAAGAATCCGAGGGTTTCTCCGGATCGTGGAAAGGAAGAAAATTCAATTCGATTCGATTAGCAGAACCTGGGAGAACAATTGTGGCCGTGCCACGAATTCTCGAACGATCGGACTGCTCTTGATAATCGTCGTCCCCGAGTGACATTGTTCAGTTTTATTTTATTTCTGATACGAAAAGGAGCATCGAATAATATTGCCCAATAAGTTGGCAAAGTAATTAGCATTAATTTGCATTACTCTCGCGTAACAAGTGAAAGGCAGACGATTCCCGAACTTGAATTACCAAAGCGCCGGCATTGAAGCTATCGCACCGAAGAGACTGTCGATATTTCCAATATCGCGTTCACGTCGAGCCGATTGTATTTACGCGTCCGCTGCGGTACAATTTGTAAGGTGGTAAATTCGCTTAGATCTGCTCGTGACGTGGCGCGTCATCGCACACCCCCGCAGCTAATCGGTAGAGAATCGGGCAACTCGTTTAGCAAATTGAATCTAAATCTTCGTCTGTGAATCTTCTTTAATGAATTTTATTTTTTCCCTTTCAATCTCTCTCTCTTCTTTTTTTCTCATAGATTATTTTGTGCGTACTTTTCGTGCGTACAAAGAAAAGATACGTGCGATTCACTTTCTCAAGAGAGGAAAAACGCAAACGAAAGTGACGCGCGTCTAATCGTTTGATAACGATGGCTGTTTAAATCTTTATAAAGGAAGAAAAAGAGGATGTACCACCAATGGCCGGAAAACCCAAAAACCTTTGTGCCAATAAAAAGGGATCAGCCTCACGAACGCGAACGGGACGAGCAGAAGTCGGTCGGGGAGGACCGAAGGGATGAAAAGGGTGCGGCGCACGTACGGGAGAAAGAAGTGGCGCGGACCATTTTTCGGGAGGATTTACCGCTGCCCAATGTATGTGTATGTATGTCCGTGAATTCGAACAGCTAAATCACCGGAATTTCATTTCTGTCCGCCGGCCGAGGAACATTACCGTTCGTTCTGTCGTCGTTGCGAGGGATTTTGGTTCCGGACCAGCGCCGCCCGTTCAGAATTTCTTCCATTCCTTAGCCGCAAGCCACCCTCAGGAATCTGAGGAAACGGTGTCCTTAATTGGGCGGGAAGAATCGTCGGTAGATAAATGACGTTTGTAGGAAAAAAAGGCGACTCAAGGACTCATTAGTTAATTCAGTGGATACTTGATTGGCCTTGCTGTTTCAACTTGAGAAATGAATGATATAATTATATCTCTAAAAAATTATGTACATAATTTTCATAAAAAAGGAGATTAATAAATTAACAATAACTATTTAAATTAATGTAAATTAATTGTGACACGCCCCGATCTTTTTTTGCATCGTGAGATGACATATCTCAATGTCAGTTATTGCTCCGATCAATTATGTGAATGGTACTAATTTCAATAGGCGCGAATGAACGAGCGCAAGCGTCATTTAATTAGGCAATGAGTATCATCGCGATCACAGTAGGCAATCTATCCCAATTCTATGGCAATCTATGCCAATTCACAATTGCTATTTGATGAAAATCCTAATTAGATTATACGAAATTTATATTAACTTGCATATAGCATGCTTGATAATAATGAGTTTGGTGTTTAAGAGTTCCTCTAAGTGTGATTAACGAGTGCTTCGAAACTACATTAATGTAAATAAAAATTATAACGATAAGAAAAGTGCGATAAAAATAAGAATTATATTAATTAATTCATTTTGATAATCTATTCATTGAATATAGGTCCGAAAAGAAGACAAGAACATCTCTTAGAGATATAAGATATAGATACTTATTATTTACTGTCAGGTTTGCTGTACATACATATGTATATATATTAATACATACATACATATATATAAATATATATATATATATATATATATATATATATTATATATATAGTATTTCATTTTTGTCTTACAAATATTATATAAAATTACAGTCGATCATGGAAAAGTAACCTTGCTCACCATTACTCCCACGCTAGCAGTATACGATCTTACACATCACACTTGGAGATACATTTACACACCGACAAGCATACAAATGAAACGTTTTAAAGTAACTTCGCGAACTAAATCGGTAAATTTTCAAACAAAAAAAGAAAGGAGTACGCGTGATTGACGACAATCGCATTCGCATGCATTCCGAAGAAAGTGCGTCCTCGACGCTTTTCTTAATCTCCGTCTATAAGGTTTGATGTGCGAATGCTACTCGAGTAGGAGACGATCGATGTGTCTCCTCATGGGACCGGATATCAATCGTTTTCCTTCGCCGCACGAAAAAGCGAGGAGATATAAAGCTCGTCCTTTTCTTTCTTTTTTTTTTGTATTCTCTCTTTGCCTTAATCGATCGATTATAAAGCTTCTCGTTGCAAAACGATTGATTCTATTATCTCGCTGTCGTCGTTTATAATTGCGATGTCTTCCTCGTAATACGCACGGATTCACTGGTTGGACATTCGAAGGAGGAAGCGCGAAAAGAAATGTCCTTTGCTTCTCGAGGAATTTATTATTTTCAGCGACACACGAGAATGAATAAGCTCGTACATACCATCGATTAATTCTGAAGCAACTTCGAATAATTACGCGCAATCACGATCACGAATAATCATGCATGACATAGGTCCACGTCGATGCATCAATACTTCGGGATGAAAGAAGAGACAAGTGTCATGCTTCGTAAACCACCTCTATCGTTCCCATCGGGGTTCCCATGGAATTGCTTCCCGCCCTCGATCATTTCACGGTATCTCGCCCGCGGTGATTCTCAGTTATTAGGGTGCGAACGCGCGATCGAACGTGGAAAAAAAGAAGAAAGCAAACGAAGGTGGATCGGAAGAGAGAAAGAGTGAGGGAGAGAGTTCGAGGGCTTGCGCGAGGACAGGAAAATCGGTACCAATTCTGGCTCTATCTTCGATAGATCGCTGAAAGTTCGATCGGTTTATTATGCGTGAAATCTGATTCTCAAATTACGGCGCTTTGCAATCGCTAAAAGAAGAAAGGAATTCACAGGGTGAAAGTCGCGAGGAAATGAACGAGAGAGGAGAGAAAAAAAATTTATTTCAATTATAACACGGATCCAAAAGACGTAGTCCGCTCGCTCTCTCTTTCTCTCTCTATTTCATCTTACACGTTTTGCATTCCATGTGTATCTCTCTTGAAATTGTTCCGTAGCTGTATAAGTAAAAGTCTGTAATCTCCATCGTGCACGTCATTCGTGTCGTTCTTCGACTGAGCGTGTCGTCGTGCGAGAAATGTCCGTCGATCATTTCTGCAGATGCTTACGAGACGCACACATATATGCAACACACGCACATACACACGCACACATATATTTTGTATGTATATATATATATATATATATATATTTATATATGTATATATTTATATCTTTTTATATGTATTATTCACGATAGGATACATATCTCTCTCACGCATACACACTCGAAGAAAAATAAATGGTATGTATACATATTATTTTGAAAGGAGTGCGTATATTTTATTTTACGAGCGAGTCGTATTTTTTCTTAGCGGAAATTAAAATACGAGATCTAATCGTGCCAAAGCATCCGACATTAAACAATCTACAAACGATTATAAACAAATAATTATAATAATGCGCTCGATGAAATTTCCGCTAAGAAAGACTCGTTCATATAAGATTAGAGTACTGCCGCTAGCATACACCTTCCTGGGTACACTGTGCTACACATACATATTTAAATATAACAAGCAGGATGTCCAATGTCTCGCCGCTGTGCCTCTAAATAATTTTGATATCGTATATGTATATGTATAACTAATGATTAATATATTAATAAATGTATTAATAAAAAATATTTTAATAAGCACATTGAAATAAAATGAATCTTTTATAAACACAAGGTATATACAAGAAAAATATATATTTCTTTATTAAACAAGAAAAAAATATATATTTTCCGATATAAAATATTCAAGATATCCATAATCCGGGAGAGATTGACAGACGTCCTGCTTATTGTCATTTCTTAGATTTACGCCAAGATACAAACGGGAAGAGCATTAATATCGCGAATATTTTAATGATTACCGAAAAGTATATTTCTCTCCGACTGTCTCTCTCTTATCTGATTTTGATTTTTTAAATTATTTTTTTGCTAAGAAACCTGCACGACTGCAGAACTAACGATCGTAGGAGCGAGATTCAGAGCGCGAAAATATCCTCATCTCGCCGAGGAGGGGAATCGGCGCGGTTTCTCGCGTCGGTGAACGGGAATCGGACACGCACGCATCGCAGCCACACGCACACAACACTCGTGTTGTACACACACAGCAGCGAGCGTATTTTTTTTTACCTATATTTGTAATAAGCGTATTTGAAAAATTCGGCCAAGTAGTGCAGCAACACCGATCTCGTTCGTTCGGTTCCCCGTGATTCGTGACGATGATACGCGCTCGCTGCTACCTCGATTCCCGAGAGATCGACGCGGGTCGATTGTAATGAGCCGCTTCATCGATACGATGTAATTCGTGCGACGAAACACTCGACAAAAGTAGCGCAGATCAAGAGAGAGGACAAGCATGTAGGAGAGAGGAAAACGAGAATCACCCATCGTCGTTGCAGCAGCTGCGAGATATCCGGAATTGCGACTTTCTTTGCGGAACGATATTGTCATGAAGAGTTGTTGCGCGCTTTACGATATTATAACTGATTATCTATGTACATATCTTTATATCCTTATATAGACAAGATATATAGCCGCGGTCGCGAGAATCTCGAACGGGGATTCGCGGAGGGGAGTACATTTGATTCAGGCTCTTAATTAATTATACCTTTAATTAGACACGCTGTGGAAACCTCGATCGTCCTCTGCGGAGAGAGGCACGGATTTATTGCAATTTTATTAATCGAACGGCCGTTCGAGATTTCCGCTCCGTCTATAATAAGGGACGTCTCGAGAGGAAAATCTTCTTTCGCGATCTCAGCGTCGCGATTCGGCTCGGTTCTCTCGCACTAGCCTCGTGCTAGCGAGTCGTCCGAAGCACCTTCCACAGTAAGAGAAGCGTATGCGTTTGTATAGATGATACTTTACACGTACAACGATAATTAGTTCACTTTTTACCTTACGTCTACTAACCCAGTTCTGTCGCCGAAGAGTAATTCGATTTATAATATCTATTATTATAACCGTTGTGCGACTTTTATCCCCCCCCCCCTTCCCATTAAAATTGTCGAAGAATATAGATTATTACCCACATATTGACAGATGAGAGATAAATCAATAATCCGAAATATCTCACTGTCGTAACAACGGACTAGTCCAAAATGGAGTGAAATCAATTTTTAAGTCAACCGCATGCGTCGCAGAACATTTCAACGAAATAACAAACGGATGCATAAAAAAGATTCTCTTAACATACCATATATCAGATAACATCCCCGCGATTATAATATATATGGAGGACGACACACACTGGAACTCGCACATTCGGTAGACGTAACGAAAATATATATATATATTTTCTAGCATATATATAAATATATATGAAATTCTTCCGTTAAAGATCATTCCGCTTCGCCTCAAGTCATTTGTGCACGCTTGTGCATCGCGATGTCATGGCTTTAGATGAGAGAAAGGTAACGTTACATTTACATAACACTACAGCTTATCCACAGAAGTATATCCACAGTAAAATAAAAAACGATTTTATAACGATTTCACCTTTATAGTTTACCCCTCGTAAAACTTATCGATTGTAAAAAGGCAATTTAAAATCGTCCCGTTTCTCGAGACCGTCCTCCAAAACGATCATCGAGATTTGACGTGACGATAATCGCTTGGACAATTCATCCTCGCCGAGTCGATTATTCTTAAAACGAATGTAAACGCGGAGGTGGGTCTCTTTACGAGTTGAGAGAAAGAAAAATTCTGGAAGTACAAACGAGATTTTTCTCTTGTTTTTCTAATTATTCGATTTAATCCTAAAAGTTATCCGGATAAAAGTCGCGCGTGGTCCAATATTCCGAGACGGGATTTAATTGAATGGAAAAAGAAAGTTTTTACCTCGTCATCGATTGCCGATATACGAAACTTAAAATATTCACCTGCTGCGCAAACGTACCTATTGATCTACTCGAGAGAGGATGGAAATATAAATTCCATTCTTTTACATATATTTATATACATAATATGGATATGCAAAGGCAATTAAAATTATACGACGCTTTACAGTATTAAAAAAACGGATAACGCGATGTAAAAAATATTGAACTGACGTAAATATAAGAATGAAAAAATAATTGCGTACGAGTCTTTGGTGATTGGACGCAACAGAAGGTATGATGCATATATGATCCAGTAACGTGATACATCAGAAATAGCGAATAAAAAATCTATATAGGTCACTTTTCGTGTAATAATAATAAATTCACCATCCCTCGTAATGAAAATCGTTATACTCAGTTCCCAGCTCTTCGGTAATCAGAGAAAAAAAAAATAAAAGGAAAGATTCGATTCACCGATTCCCCCTCTCCTCTTTCCGGCATCATCATCAAGCGTAACTATTAATTCGCAGGAGAATTCAATTAAGTCCGCGGTACGTAAGTGGGGACCTAATCTGATTATCCTTATTGGATAGAGACTTCTATTACGCGAGATCGAAATCTCTTTCACCCTTTTCCTTTGTCGACTTTCCCGGATCGTCAGGTTATCGCGTACACGGGCTACGAATGGGCGAAGGGGACAGTGAAGCGAAATCGTGGAAAGAAATTGTTGAAATTTAAAACGCACTGAATAATATATATATGGATTAAAAAGTAATTAAAAGAAGAGAGAGGTGCGATAAATTCCGAGCAGAAAAGTTTGATTAGTCTCGCGCGCGAATTTGTCTATACATAAGTACCTGTATGTAATGTATGCATGTATGTGTATATATGTGTACATGTGTATGTGTGCGTACTTATGCGCACGTACTTTCAGACGCCCCAATGATATGAGCGCGAGGGGAAAAAAAGCACGTTAAGTAAAAATCAATCCAAAGAACACTAAAACCGGCAGAGACCCGATATACAGCGTGCATGTATCCCTACAACAAATATCGACAATAGAAATATAATCTTGCGTTTTAAACGTCTCTCGTAAATTTAACAATAATAACAGATTATTACGAAATTGTTATATTGCATAATATATGTACAAACTATGTTTTGGTTTCCTCTTTCTCTCTCTCTTGGTCGTCCCTCAAATTCCTGCGTCTAAACCTAACACTTTAAGTCGATTATCGTCATCGGAAAACATCATATAACGAAATACATACAATAAAAACATCTCGCAGGAATTTAAGGCAGTCGATTATCGATTCTACTCGAACGTGACAAGTAGATCCTTTGGGAAGAGATAGTTTTCGAGTTGCAGATCTACTAATGCTAAACGAATATAGTTTTAAAGGAAATGCGCATCTACGTACAATATGTTAGAAAAATTCTCCGTAAACAGATTTCTTACTGAGAATTTGCAACATGGTGCAACAATAAATTACATTTTTTTATGAACGTAAATTTGTAAAACGAGTAATTCAATACGACCCCCCTCATCATTTTGACAAGCGGAAATTTCTTAAAATATATATAAGAGCGATTTCCTCTTAATACTTTCTAAGTTTTGTGTTTTTCATTTCTTATATTTAAAATGTGTAAAGCGATAAATTGAATAACATTTCTTTTAGAATCTATAGACGAACGAAACGTTGCGCTTAAATACTTTGACAGTCTTCGAAGACAGGAATGCATTGCGAATAAAATTATGTGGCGAAATTAAAATTTGTGCAGTGCTCCTATCACATATTGTATGAAAGTTTTAGACATTTCTATTGACATTTCGATGAGAAAATGGAGTTATTTCAGTCGTACAGTTAAACTTTTTTTTTTACGGAATCAACAAATTACGAGAGCTATCTATAATTGCATTTACTAATAAGTCTCGAAACATTAATGATTCGCTAGTAGGACCAGCAATTATTTAAAGTCGTTGATTCCCCATCCTAAAACAACATCTCGCATCATCTGTCGAATTACTACAGCCGTTTAAAATGCACGTTAACATTATTTGCGGATGTTATTCGCTATTCATACCATTACCATATCGTCGTCCATATTGATAATCGTCGGAAACGAATTGTCTGCCGAACTTTGCCTTTGAACGGGCTTCTTCCTTACGAGTCCGTCTGTGATTGATAAAAATTACAGATCTTACTCAACCTATAAAGCTATCTATATATATTTATACTTATGTCTTAAATATTTTTCATCATTTAATAATAACAAATCTTTCGAAAAAGTCCATATTCACAGAGAGAAACTGATTAAATAATCTCTTATATATAAATCTTTGCTAAAATAAATAGCTTTATTGGCATAATAATAATCGTTTATCCAAAGTGTTTAATTGTAATCAATTATCGAAAAATACTTACCAGCAGAAGGTGGGAGAAGATCGTCGAGAGATCCATCGTCCAGATCCGTTGCCGATAAGAGGAGATCATCGTCCGAAGAGGCTCTCGTTAGACTGGGTAGAGTAGATGTCAAGAGAGCCTTCTCCTTCTGAATTTCCTGTATATGATCGACGAGTAATGCTTCTTCTTCGTCTCCTCGATCTCTCTCGCGATCCATCGCACCTGCTCGTCCCGCAACAATCGGAGCGACCGCGTTCAATTCCTCCGGACTGAAGATTTTAGACGATCGTAGACTGGAGAGTCGATGAGTCGCCGTGTGACAGGCGGATTCGAGGGTATTTATGTCCGCTAATGTCGCTCTAACGACTCTCAACTTTTCATGTACTATCGTCTCGACGCAACGCGTCTGCCTGCCTACATCTTGAAGAGAGTCTTGCGCGGGTAACGTTCTGTTCGTTCTGAGAATGCACGGCGCAAAAACGATAGCTAGAGCCGACGGTGACATTCTATTGTCCACCTCATGTCGCGCCACTCGCGCCAAATGGACGATCAAGCGTTCCATCAGATCGTAATTGGGTTTCGGCAATTTTTTCAATATGGCGAAAAGCGTGCTGATTCGATCGTGTGGATCCGTCAAGCTCGCCGCGTGTAAAAAGTCATCGTAATATTCGTAGGTCAATAGCGGTTCTGGCATGTCTCTAAAGAAGCTCTTTAGTACCGCCGCTAAGACATGCACTTGATAGTTCTCGAAGTCTACCTTCTCCAAATCACCTTCGTCCATTTTCATCTTGAGCTCTCTCACCTTGGAACTGACGCCGCTCTTTCTATATATGCCCTCGGTATACAGACCATGCATCTCGATAGTTGTGATCAGTCTGTCTACTACAAGCGGTACCTTGCCATCGCCGCAATCTAATTTGTAAAGCGGTACACCGAATACCTTGCGGGAGTTTGTTTCGAGCAACGAACCGTCCTTACCGCATTCCGAAGACGCCTTCGTATAGCATTTTTTGTGACATGTTAATTTGCAATCTAAAATAGATATTCATTACGATTAATTACGATTATTAATACAACAAAAGGAATATACTAAATTTATTTATATGAATAAATTACTTACTTTGACAAACAAGTCCTCGCTCAATGGGCCACATGAAGAAAGACGTGCAAACTTCGCAAGCGGTGGGTATATTGATGATAGTCAATTGGAACATGTGATTACCGTGCCGGATAGGCTCTTCCTGCTTTCGTTTTTTCTCTTTTTTTCGTTTGCTCTTACTCTGTTTTTCGAGAGCTTCAGTTTTAACGATTGTCATGAATTCATTCATAAAGCCTCTGAAGGCGTTCACGCCCATTGTTACAGGGAAATCTTCCCTTGTGTTCTCCTGCTTGCAAACAGTCTCCATAACGTGAAGAAAGTTGGCAATCAAATCGGTGTACTTGATGTTGCCTTCTACGCCTTGTTGTATGGCAACGCTGTACGTTATCACCAAGTCGTCTTTAAACTTTCTGAGAGCTTGTTTGAAAACGCGGTCTACTTCGCTCGGTTTTCGTCCCTCCCCTTGACCCTCCATTATATAAATTTTCTTGGTAATGAAATCTTGCATCAGCGCTAACTCCTTGGCATCGGAAATGATTTTATCCGTGCTATCCGAGAAAGCCGAAGTGCCGGTTAAACTAAACTTGGACGCGACTGTCTGTTTCGTGGTATCGTACGGTGTGCGTGGTGGTTTCCTGTTTTTCCGTCTACTCGGCGTGTTGGCCAATATGCACGGCATTCTCAGCACTCCGCCGTTTTGAATACACTTGACGTGATAGAGCTGTTTGCAGTCGACACATTTGTAACCTTGTGTCACGAACGCGTCCATCTTTTCGTGACAACATACGCAAACGTCGTCCTTGGCGAACCTCGCCACTTTTCGGAAACGATGACCGGCCAAGGTAAATAGATTATGACCTTTCCACTCGAGGAGGTCCATACCGGGAGCGAGTTTCAAATCGTTCGGACTAGTATCCGTTCCCATTTTATCTTCGCTTAGACCCGAGATCTTCGTAGCTGGATCCGAGTTTCTTCTTCGTAGTTCAAAAGTCGTAATCGCGTTGGATCTCATGCGTTTACCGGGTTGTTGTCCCTTGTATGTGGTTTCGTTCTTGTTTACAGGCCAATCTGTCACAGATCGGGAAGTAGTTTCGTGCGGATAATCTTTTCGAGACCATATTTTCGTCGTTTTAGTCAAATCGCTCTCCTTGATCGTCCCGAGGAGCAGATTTCGCGTCTCCGCATTTGTTTCAACTGCGCTCTCGCCCATAGATCGACACTGAACTTCTCTCGAGGGTCTGTTTCGTCTCGCGCTTCTTACCGGCACATCTGGTTCGTATTTCTCCGATCGCGAGTTCTTTTCCTTCGGGGGCGATCTTCTCAGTCCCAAACCGCTCTTTAAAGTGTTGTCATCGTTAACACCTACGAGTTTTGTCGTAGTATCTCCCTCCGAGTTTTGTCGTCGCAAGTAGGCGAGATCTTTAATACTTTTAGCAGATCCATGCGTTTGATCTCGTTTCACCGGAGATATCGGAATATTCTCTATTCGTTCATCAGGTACGCTGTTATCGCTGAGTCTACGCTGCTGTTTGCCGCTCGTCAAACTTTCCATCTGAACAAAGCGATCACTCGTGTCGACTTTGACATTATAGTTCGCCGCTTCGTTAGGTTTATCTTGTCGGATCTGTTCGAAAACGCTGTCAGTCATATTCTTGTAACGAGAAACATTCGGAGAACGTGTAACAGTCGCTTTTTGCGGTACCGACATGAAGTAATCGTTATATGCAGGTGAGAAATCCGCTCTACGGTGCCAAATGTCCGGATTCGGATTATGCGTCAGATTTACATTAACGGTGTGATATTTTGTATCGCGCGAACTGGTAAACGGTGGACTCGTATTGAAAACAGGTGGGGCACTTTGCACAGCGCTCGGTGTCTCGCTCTCGGTCTCACCGTCACTGTATCCCGTCGAGGAACTATCAGTCCTTCTGCTCACCGAGGATAACCGACTGGACGCATTCGTTAGGTTGACATTTGATGTGACTATTGGCGAATGATCACCGCGTTTCGTCCTCGTGCTCGGCACGGGTTTCGAACCGGAATTGTCTTGCGATTCGGTACTATTGACACTAGCTTGAGATTCGTAACTCCTCAGACTTGTCAAGCTTTCGAGACTACTCTTGCGTTCCGCAATCTCGTCGAAATGATACGTTTCTGTATTCTTCAACGTTGTGTCATGCAGAATCCGTTTGTTCGGTGTGAGTTTGCGTTTAGAATATGAAATACCTGTATCTATGGCGCTCTCTCTATTTGTGTTATCGCATCTGAAAAAAATCCATAATATTTGCAGAGGCTCTAATTATGAAATAGATTTAGATTTTAGCACCTACCTTGCTAGCGTGAGCCGATTTTGAGATTCTATTTTTCGAGGCGATTCGCCATATTCCGTGAGACTCCGATCTTCCGTGAATAATCTGTAATAATGTTTAAAATAAAATAATACAAAGAAAAAAAATTATTCATATCATGTTCCAATATATATGAGTTTACTAATAAAAAACATTACTTACTCTTCGCTATCTCGATCTTTGGCGCATATTTTATCGTATAGAAACTCCTTGTACTCTTGAATTTCCCTGACTTCTTGAACTTTATCCAGTAGTGGTCTTTTTCGTTTCTTCAATTCATTAAATTTCTTTCTGGCGTTATTGCCCCTAATATATGCCTGAAAGGTAATTACACACGATTTCAGCTTTTTAAACCAGCTACGTTGTTTGTATACCCTCCAGGCAGTTTGTATGTGCAATGCAGCTTCAGTTCTTGCACGAAGGACTTGAGCTAGTCGTTGTGCAGTAACCATTCTCCAAAAAGACTGTATTTGTACAATGGCATTTTTCAATCTGAGGAATTTTCTCCTTTCCAGACAAGCACGGAACCACTTTTGTATAGTAGTAATGCTCGTTATGATCTGTTGATGTAATTCGATGTCTAGTTTGATCTTTTCGGACTCTCTGAGAAAAACTTTGGTAGTACCCAGCTGATAATTGTCTCTGTTGAGATTAAGAGTCAATAGAAAATCCCTCACGTCTGATTGCGAGCTCAAAAGACCCTTAGGAAGCAGCATCCGATAAAGTTGTATAAATTCCTCGTACGTTAATCGCACATTGAAACCAGCCTGCCTTATTCTGACAGTTTCCAACATTCCTGTATATCGCAATTGTCGTTGCACTGTTTCCTCATCGAATTCATTCGGTACTTTATTAGCGTTGCTTTTAATACATCTGATAAAGAAAGGATTAGCTTGATTCAGAGTATCCATTAAACTGTGCAAACTTTGCTGAAATTGTGCGGAAACTGTCATGGGCTGCTTTCTAGCTTTTCCCGGTCCAGTGCCATAACTTTGAGTTCTTCCAGCAAGTGTCTTCACAGTTTGTAGATTTTTCAGGCCTTTTTTACCACGTTCCCTCGGTCGAAATGATTTATTTTTCCTGTAAACGTTTTTATGCTAAGATTTGTAATACGTTGATATTATACAATGTACATTCCTCCTCCTGTTACTTTATCATTCTCACATTGTCAAACAATATGTTTGATAATTAATATGTATACAGTACAGGAGAAGGAATTACTCTAATCATATACTCTATCATAATAGTGCCTTATATGTGTCGAAAAAATATGTGTATCTAATATAAAATACAAAAGATAATAGAAGAAAATTAGCAATGATATAGTACAATATATAGTTATATAATAAAAAAAAACAAAATAAGCTTAAATATAACATCTATTATAATAAGAAATATCCGATATAAATATTAGATGACACAGTATAAATAAAATATTAGTATACATGATTGTATTATATTTAATTCATGACTGTGATCACAAAATTACTTCAATGTTTTGTGTTACATTGATAGTCGGTGCTATAAGAATTATTTATGATTATAACAGTGTAGTCAACAACAAGTACTCTAAATTTATGATTATAACAGTGTAGTCAACAACAAGTACTCTAAAAAATTTATACATTTTTTCCTAAAGATTTATTATTTAAAAAAAAAAAGTATTGCAAAACACTCAGCATGCAGCAATCATCATTAAATAATATATCGAGAACAACTGCAAGATGGAGCAAGATCTGATGACAAGTGATTTTATGATAATGCACGATATTCTTTAATCATAGAAAGAAATGCAGTGTGCGCGCATTGAGGAATCAAGATATAATGATATATAAAAAGCCATATTACATAATACAGTTTTAACATATCAATGGTCTACGAGAATGAGCTATTACCTACAAAAGGAAACCCATCACCAACCCGAGAATTGCTATAGAGCGCATACTAATCTTGACTTGTGTAGAGCAGTAATTTTCCATAGCTTAAATTACATTATTAATCGAGTATCGAATAGATACATTTTACATACATGACGATCTGATTAGCGCGTTCCATGACATTTGCTTCGTCTTTTGGAAGCACCCTCTCTAGTGGTGTGTGAGTATCTCGTCTGAATTTATTAATACTAAGAGGCTGGTCTTCCCTGCCCCGTATTATGTAACCTTTGGCCGATGTAACGTTTGATGGGTATTGCGTCTGATTAATGTTTCTAAATTGCGGCCACGATAGGCGATTGTTGTTTATATTGTCGTTGTTTTCGATTTGTATAGAAGATAATGTAGCAGAAGGAGTAGTGGCCGGCGGTAAACATACACTGCGTTGCTTCTGATAACTCGATGGGCGAGTATGTTTATGTGAACTGAAAAATTCTCTGGTCCTTAATTACTGCGTCGAGAAATCGATGATATTTCTTACGATTAATTAATTGATTATTCATTTATATTTTTAATAATTTTTTCTCAGTTGTTCCTCTCATCAAGTTTTAGGTGGGATGTTTTCAAGGAATATCAATTGATGTAATTTAAATATAAGAAACAAAGAAAATGAGAGAAGATGACTGACATGAACTGTATAAAAGAAAATTCAGTTTTGCGCCATGAATCATGCCCAAGTACAATAGCAAGAAGAATATTGTAAAATGGTAGAATGTAATTGTATGGCGAATGTCATGAAGATTGCATTCTAGTTGCAGCTAATAATACAAGAGGTGCAAACAGAAATTTAAATAAAATCTGGAAGACATATATATCGAAAAAGAATTGGAGTAAAAATATATGGATTTACAAATTTACTCAATCTACATGGATACTCGTGTTTGTTAAAAAAACTTCAACTGAGTTTAACTGTTCTTAATATATGTATAACATAATTTGTGTTGTAAATCCATGGGATATGTCAACAAAATATATAATATTTGCCAAAAATTACATATACAGTGGATCAAAAGACCACTTACGCAATTCGGTTAATAGTTAGATTGACGGCCGACAACGTCACAAGATGGCTACAAAGGACAAAAGACACATGGCCAATATAAATATAATAAAGATTTATCTTAATTAATATATCAACATCAAAACTTTGTCAGCGTGATGCATGTATTATTAATGCACAACGTAGATTCATACGCCGTTCATACGTATATGAGACAATATACAGATCAAACATATTCAAAGAAACAAGCGCAACAACATCAGCACTTTCTTCTTACAGTTGTCAATGTAATACTAATATATATCTTGCTCTATAAATTACATGTGAAAGCATTTGATACTGTCTTTCATTACCGTTCATATATGTAGTAATATATATTCTATTTCATTAAAGATGTTATACGAAATTGAACATTACCTTATCAAATTCTCATTAGGTGTCCTGTATCTGTTTTGTACAGACGTCTTATTTCCATCAACTAAAAGGAAGGAAATATATATTTACTTTTATTAATTCCTCGCATTTTTATTCTATGCATTAATGTTTAAACTACACATGATTCAATACATACCTCTACCATGCCTGTGCGCTCGGCCGGCTTCTTGAAATGCAAAGTGAGCACGAAAGAAAGCCCGCAGTATGGCCCATCTGAATACGGCAACTGGATCAGCGCCGACCAATTCCCGCACGAAGGCAAGGGAAGAGTTTTTCAATACTCCGACTACACCATCGGGTCGCATTAGATCTAAATTCTTCTCTCTCATGTTAGCAGCTTGGTATTTGACTGCGCCAGCATAATGGCGTACAACGAATGCGGCTTCTCGTCGCTGCGGCGCCTCGTAAAACTGATTTTCTTTATGCACAGTGTTGAATTTCTGTAGCAACGTCTCGTTTGTTGCACCAGGAAAGCTGCGAAATAAAGTTTAGATAAAAAATTTAGTTAGATATTTTCATATTTTATAATCAATTCCACAAGCTTTTGAAAAGCATTTATTTATAGCATTCATTTATTTATAAAACAATACTCACTACATTAAGCATTCATTTATTTATAAAACAATACTCACTTGCATTGATCATCAAGAAGACACAACAGGCCGTTCGGCTTTCCTTCAATTAGATTGAGACATCCAGAGTTGTCGCTATATCCGATATCTGTCCATCTAATCCCTTGCTTTCTGTATTCTCGTTGCTCGTATTGAAAAACATGTTGATTAAAGTAATGTTGTAATTGTTCATTCGCATAATTGATACATAGTTGTTCAAAACTGTTGCATGTTTTGAAATCTTCAAAGCCAAATATATCTAATACACCTATACTATTGCCTTGATGGTCTCTAAGAGTGTCCTTTTTAGAAAGCAGTGCATGATTCACCTGATATATACGATATCGATTATTTTATATGTTAATACATTATTTTATATGATATCAGTTTTTGGAGATAGAAGCAAATCTTTATTACCTGTAGCACAATCCAATCAAATAAAGCTCCGTATAAGCACTTTGCCATGGCATCACGTGCCGCAATCGCTTCGGGAAGTCTGTAGTTAATAACTAAAGTCTCGCCGGAAGCTCTTGCGCGTTTGGCAGTAAGTGCAGCCAAAAGAGTTTCTTGTTTTACTCTAAGAAGTTCCGATATCAGTGCAACCACTTCCGGATTTTTGACACCTACGGCCTCATCATGATGATGGTACGACTTTCGTGGTTGAAACTCAACATTACCTAAATTGAAAATTTTTAATTACTCCATTCAGAGAAATAAGCACATATAAGCACGATTGAATAATCACCTAATAAAAGGACCGCCGACAGAACTGCGAAGAGCCGCCTTTGCTTCTCTGCTGTAAAGCCTACCATTTCCATAGATTGTTTTAATCTCGAGAACTCGTGCCGTTCGTCGATATTCTCCAATCCATAGCAACCGCTTTTATTTAAGTAATTATACCGATCACAGCTCTCCAAATGTAGCAATTGTTTCTCTTGATCGCTTGCGCCAGCCAACAGATAATAAAATACATGATAATTCCTTTCGTTTCGTCCTTGAGAGACAATCCTGGATTTTTCCAGGAGGTATTTCTGAACCACAGCACTGTAAAATCAGTAACTAGAAGATTATTTTCTTCCTTACATATTATCATAGTGTGTCCTTACATATTATTATTATTAGAACATACCCATGGACCATTCCATTTTCCTTGTAATTTACTTGAATAAACTTGCCAAAGCGACTGCTATTATTATTATGTGCTGTTTTTGCATTACCAAATGCTTCCAAGACAGGTCCAGCGCTCAGTATTGTTTGTTCCACTCCACTGCCATGCGAACCCTTTTGACTAAGTGCTGTCAAATGATGCAAGAGGAAATTCGTTGATTCTGTTTTACCAGAACCGCTTTCACCACTAATAACAATACATTGATTCTTCTTTTCCTTAAGCATACAATGATAAGCTGCATCAGCTATGGCAAATATATGCGGAGGTATGTCTGGGCCCAATCTTCTGTTTTGATACAATTTTACATATTTCGGATTGTAGATAGGATAAAATTTGAATGGATTCAAGGCAATTAATATGCTGCCGACGTAGGTATATATGTTGCCAGCCAAAAACCTAGCCCTCAGATTATCCAACAACGTTTGTTCATTCAGATCTGGCAGCTGACACAGATCTGGATATTCCTTGTCACGTGGTTGATAGAGGAATCTATTGAAATAGTCCTTTAAAAGTTGAGGATCCATAGGAAATCTACTATCAGACCATAAGTAGTCTGGTTGCTTTTTTCGTAAGTAAAATCTGAAAGTTTAAACATAAAAATTATATTAGTAAAGGAAACTTTGTCTCCTTTAAATTAGAAATAATTAATAATAATTATTTTCATAAAACATATATAATAGACCTATAATATTCTTGCTGGGCATCATTTTTCGGCCACAGTAACATAAGTGCCACAGGGCACTCGGTGGGACCGAGTCTTCTTTCTTTACATTCCTGTCCAACAGAATTTCCTACTACTTCTGCTAATTCATAGCTATTTGAAACAGAAGTATCGACAACTAGTCCAAGCCTTTCAATAATACATTCCACTATCTCAGCTGATGAAGTCTGTTTCGTAGCTTTAATGGATAACGCCTCGTATTCAGGGCTCCATTCACCCACAAACACTTGCACTACTCCAGACCCACTGTTGTCCATTTTCTAACCCTAAGATAATAAAATTATAAAGAGATATATAAAATAATATTTAATTTACACTAGATCATTCTAATGTAACAAAATATACCTTATATTTAAGAGGGTTAATAAGTATGTCCTCTGTCATCTATACAATATCTCAAATATGTCGTTTTTCCTTCTCCTTGTTTATTTGTTATGTACAACCACTGATTTAAACGTTTAAAATAATTATTATACATTTTGTTTTTTCCCCCGTAAATTTGCAATAGGATATGATTTCAGTATTTATGATTATTTACATGTATTAATTATATTATATTTTTGCTGTAATATCAATTTAATTTACTCTTGTCAAATACACTTGTCAGTTGACAAAATAGATTTCAAGAGTTAATCAATGTTTTACACACACACACATATGTATCATTTATAAAGTTTTAAAAATAAATCTGTGACAAAATAAAAATTTGCAGGTATCTCTTCTGGTCATAAAGCATATTAATAAGAAATTGTAAAACCCTTCCAAATTATTCTCAAGTCTTTCTTAAATCCGTTAAATCCAGAATATCATGACTCATAGAATAGAATAGAGTATTCCAACCATATTGTGGTTAATAATTATTAGAGTAATAAAATATATAGAGTCATTAGAGAATTATTTGATTCTTTTTTAGATTTATAGATTCAGTCAATTTTATAGGTCCTTGTTGCTGATTTGTTCAAGAGTTAGAGTATTTTTGTTAATTGTAGAGTAGCTTGTTTCATTCGAATATCAAGTTTTTAACGTGAAATGTCTATTGGAACTTTTCTGACAGCCATTAAATTATTATCACAACATTCACTGAACAGGTGACAAGCGTGGGTGTGCTATTGTTGGTAGGCAGTAACTTAGTTTCCTTGTTCTGACAAAAATCCAAGGTCTTCAGCAAATTAGGTCTTTTATTGTAAATATTCTTGTACCTCCTGAGTATTTCAGTATATTTATTGCAATAGTTTACAACGGCTGTGTATCATTTCCCTCTATTGCACAGAGTTTTTTCTAAGCCAGAAAAGTATCCTATCTGAAAAAAATGTATATAATGCATTAACGTAAAGAGGAAATGTGAAATTTGTACGAAGAAATGTGCGTGTAAGCATTTTTATAAAAGTTGCAAATATTTAATATCATTTCATATATTTAATCAATATATTAAATTTAGCAATGTCTTATAAAAGTGCGGATACTCCATGTTTCAAGCATTTAAAATACAGAAAAGTTTGAAATTTTATATATTCAAAAAGATCGAGTTATATACACATGAAATAAATCACTTTAAACATAACAGTCCATCTTACTTTGTGACTTGACAAGAATGGAACAGATGATGCATTGAATTCCTATTTTAAACAAGCCCACACACATCGAGATAAGGCACGTAATGAATTATATAGGAGAAAGTCAATTATTAGAACGGCTATTAAGAGCACAAAAACAAATGAAAATAATTGAAAGTTCCAATCATTTTAATCTGTCACGTAATATCTATATCGTCAGCGGAGGAAACTTCACATCGGACGCGACGCATACACATATGCACGTGTTTCGAGGTGATGAAGCCGAATTTAAAAATATCTCATTTCTACCCTGGACAATTCTCCGGCGAATTCGCGCACGCAAATAACTACTCTGTCGCGACGAGAAAAACACCATCGCTCCAAGAATACAACATTGGGTCGCGGTCCAGGGACTCTCTCGTCGGATCGGCAACAGATTGCGCGATCGCGTATACATACGTATACAAAGGAACGCTAAAAGCGGCATTTACATTATATCTCTGCGAAATGCGTCCGTTCGCTCCAGCGGGGCTCGACGGCCGTGTGACATTCGGGAAAGGGATACTCGGTCGCGATAGACTGACGGGTCATGGACCATGCCACTAATCAGGGACGGCTGTATCGTGACAAACGAACGTCAACATGATAAACCGAGCTTAAAGTCGCAGGAATTTCTCGAGCGAAGCTGATCACGATACGCGACACTCTCGACTCGCGCGCGCGATATCACCGCGAAAGAATGTATATCGCTGCGAGATTGCGAGGCAGGCAGGCACAGGCGTGCGTGCGTGCATGCGTGCGTGCGTGCGTGCGTGCTCGCTCGCTCGCTCACTTGCGTGCGAGGGATCGGAGGCCGCTCGGAGAGGCGGCCTTGCAATCCGTTTACCTCCTTCGTTGATCGCGGGATCCACGTTGCGATGCATCGTCCTCCGGGAGCAGCGGGGCAGCACTTTGCGCGCACTCAAACGTCATGCTGTCGCGGGTCAGGAGCTCGCCGCCGCGTGAAAATGCTGCCGTTTGTCCTCGAGGCCCCGATCTCTCCTCTCCCTCTTCCCCTTCGCATCCGCTTCCCGAGCCTCGCACAGCTCGCGGATCCCTCTCGCTCGCTCGCGCCCGCTCTCTCCTCCTCCCTCCTTCTCTCGAAGCGCGGCGAAAATCGCGAGACCAACACCGAGGCGAGCGACGACGTTTGGCTGGCTCGCTCGCGATTACGCCGCGCTACGTTGGCCGTCGTGCCTTCGTTTTCCAAAGACCTCGGACAATCCAACGGCAGCACGACAGGCAGACGACGATATATACGTGTGTGTATATATATATATATCGGACACACGCGCGCGCGTACAATACGGGCGGATTGACACTTGGGTAAACACGCGTCGCGATCGGCACTGCTGGACGTGGAGATCGGAAGGCGCGCACCGGCCTGGCCGGGACGCTCTTGAAATCGCGACGTATCCCTCCGACGCGGCTCCTCGCCCCAAGTCTCGCTCGTCCGCCGCGAAAATCGACGCACGGTCACCGATGACGGGCCCTTGCCCAGGTTTATCGTCCTTCGTCTCCGCACGGGATCCTGCGTCCCGATACGTCCACCATTTCGATTTTTTCGATCACGTGGTACGCGCCGGCGAACGTCGATTGGCCGCGCGAGCGCGACGACGTGATCAGTCGCCGATGCGCCTCTGCCATTCGGACGACGATGCTTCCGGAGCCGTCTGTCGCTGACACGACGAAGCCTCTCCGAATACGCGATACCCGTCGCGGTCCGATTCTTACTTCGCGCGCCGATCAATTCATTATTCGGGCGATCCGAGAGCGAAGATTGATGCGATCGGTCCGCGCGTCATGTCAATGCGTAATTGTCATCGCACCGAGTCACTCGGCGACGACGTCATGACGTCGTTATCGACTCGAAAGTAAGTGACGCCAACGTCCTCTGTGCGCAGGCGCGCGACAAGCCGAGGATCCCTTCCATTACCGACGGACGATCGATGCCGACTGACAGAGGGCGCGATCGGTCCGCGGGGATGGTGACGCGCGAAATCACGGATGGACGACGGATCGGGACGAAAAATGTGAGTAAAATTATCATTATTATTATTAAATACAAGAAGGTAAGGTGTATTATCGCCGTGGACCGTGACGCGGTGTTGATATATACGACGCGACGTCGGTGTAAAATATAAAAATAAGACGGAAATATTATCTCGGAGAGAACAAGCAGGTCACGCAAACTTGAAATTCTCTCCTCGTCACATCGATTTTTCATTACATTTTTCCATCCTCGAGATATATCAGGGGATCTGCCGCTAAGACATCGCGGAAAAGACGTTCGCATGTTTTTATTGGCTCGTAGTTGGCTCTCCACGAAAATAGATATTCGATAATACTCGAGCAAGCGCTTTCGCAATCTGAGAAATTAACTTGGGCGAAAGCGCGCACATGGCGGCTCGTATCGTGTCCGCGTTATTTTCCATTTGGCCCGTTTACGGTATTCAATCGTTCGGGCGGGCTCGTGCATTTTTTAAAAAGCAATCGGCCCGCGATAGCCAGTCAACTATAGGTTCAGAGGAATATCGACAAAGAGGAAAATTCACAGGTAGAGACCACATGCATATACCTATATCCGGCGAAAACGTGCGATCCTGTGCGCGAATATATCTCGTTAGCAACTCGGGTAGAAAAAGTAATCATTTTCGCGTCAAATTTTATATCGAAATGACGTCAAAATCGTCCCGCTACCTTTAATATGCAATTAATGTGTAGTTGCTGATTTAACGAGATAGAGGAGGGAGAGAAACATCAAATATACATCATCGATAGTCAATTATTGCGACAACAATGACAATAATAGAGTGATGCAAAATTTATCATCGAATTTATGATCGAAACAACATGAACAACATGTCAATATTAATACTCCTAAAAGGGCACATATGCAATATTATATTCTTTGACGGTATATTATTTATTTTTATTATGTACGTGCACGATATCAGATGTCTTCTTTCGTTTTTTGAGTTTTTCTCGTATTTTTGTTTGACATATTTATTAGATAAGATCCGATTCGACAGGTGCGTTCGGCAGGTAATATAACGGTGATCGATGACAAATGGATGTCATAACGCCGCGATTGCCTTTATCGTCGGGATAGGCATCTCGGAATATAGTAATGGAATGCTATACGTCTAGTATTAATGGTCCATGTGTAACATGGAGAATTTCGGAGTATCGATGTTCTCTCGGTGTCTGCATTAACGGAAGTAGCGTCGGCGTGGCTGATCAATACGGTTACAACCACTGACACATTTTGCAGCGGTCAATCGTTTGCATAAAAAGCACATTGTTGCATTATTTAAATGTTTTCCGTAGGAAATGTCAATATCAATCACTTTGAACGTTCCTCCCTCTTTCTCTCTTTCTCTCCTCTCTTCTCTCTCTATTTTCCTCTCCTACTTTTTCTATTTTTCGTTGTATTTTGCCAAAACTTTTCGTGCTACTTTTGAACTTGGCAAGAGCACATATTCAAATACGCGAACTCTTATTTAAATTGATATATTTCTAGAGCATTGAGTATTGAACTGATATATTTATAGAGCATCGAGAAATGTAAGATTATATATCTTTTTATAAATATTATAGAAGGAATATTATAGAAGGATTTATAAAGGGGTAAAATATTTTTTCAAAATTTTGGGCGGCCAATATTTTTCTTCAATAAATATCTATTAAACTGTGCGTACGTTTCATATTTTTTATTCTCTACAAATTTATATCAGTCTAAATAAAAACGCTCTAAAAATAAACTAGTTATATATAATATTCTCTCATAAAAGTTCCAACGAGTTACGAACTGTTAAAATTATGTGCGATCGATTAACATGTGAAAAATAGCAGGATTTGCGTAGGACACACATTTCAACTCAAACGTCTTTAAAAAGATAATTGGGCCTTATAAGAGCTTTCAATTAGCCGTTAATTTAATAACAGCATGCCTCGGACGTAACCTGTGACGTAAATCGGGTCGCATATTATCGCGAAATAATTGTATCGATTTCGCGAAGTAGCTTCGACGATATCGGGAAAACGCATGAGCTTGTAAATGCCACATATACTATATATATATAGCCGTCTGATAAATGTTTCGTATATACCTGCTGAGTTGTGACTACTCGTGCATACATATCGCGAATATCACACTCCGCGTTACATTTATACTCCACACGTTTAGTTTTATGCATTGTACGCAGTCTCGGAAGTCTATCCTGACTTCTCTCTTATTCACCACGCCTTTTCTTCTTCCATCATTCTCTTTCACGACCGGAATCGCGAGTCGACAATATTTGAAGCACGCTAGTCTGTAATCCCCAAGTTAAAATGCTACCAAAGCGGATGCAACTTCTCCCTTTTTTCTCTACGAACAGTTAATCCTCGCGTTTCTTCGCGTGGCCGTTTGGCCCTTTTACGATTTCCTACGTTATATTGTATCGATCGTAAACGTATGAGATATACGTGTAGAATTGCTGCTATTTAACAGGCTCGCAATTCAATCTTGAATTATATCGACAATTGCGATTTACGGCTAATGTTATCAAGCGTACAATATTATCGAGAAGAACGACGAATATAGATGTGATGAATGCAAAGAAACACATAATTTTAGTAACAAATACATTCGAGTATTTTCCAAAAATACCTCTTATGCGATGTAAAAAAATAGATATCGCAGTCAACTTTAATACGTTATATCAGAGCTATAATCTTTGACCGTGTGATAATCATGGATTTATAGACGTGTAAGATATTTAAGTCAGTAAAATACATTTTTTTAAATGGAATGAAATAATGACAACGGCTCGGTATTTTTAAAGCGTTCTTTTTCGGCTCTTATTATTTATGACGTAACAGCCATTGTTTGTTTCTCTCGAAATAAAAAGCTTATGGCAATGTGTGACATTGGCGTGCGCCTTAATGTCTGAAGAGAACATCGCTCTGTTACTGTGCGCGGTGCATCTCTTATTGATAACTATGGAGCATGAAAGACTATTTATAACCTGGTCCAATGAAATCGCCCTACATCGAACTGACGTCGTTTCCCTCGACAAAACGGTTAGATCAAAATACACAACGTCGATATCGCGTGACACGAAGTTTTTTATATTTAAAATTTGGTCAGCATGTAGACGTACAACTGATTTCTAATCGCTTTTATCCTTAAAACTTTGTTAATCGCCCCATAATCTACGCGTTAAAATCATAGCTTATGCCTGAAATACACGGAATTTATACACATACACATAGAATAATTTAATCAATCTTTATCTTCTATTTAATTTTTTACATACTTTGAATTATATTGCCAAATGTTGAAAATGTTATTAATAAATGTTATAAAATATATTAAAATATATAATATTAAAAAAAGCTTGAGATATTATCTAACACATACATACATACATACATATATATATATATATATATATATTTTTTTTTAATATTATATATTTTAATATATTTTATAACATTTATTAATAACATTTTCAACATTTGGCAATATAATTCAAAGTATGTAAAAAATTAAATAGAAGATAAAGATTGATTAAATTATTCTATGTGTATGTGTATAAATTCCGTGTATTTCAGGCATAAGCTATGATTTTAACGCGTAGATTATGGGGCGAAAAAATATAAAAAAATATATATATATATACATATAAAAGTATAAAAAAAAATATATATATATACATATATATTATATAATATCTCAGTTTTTTTTTATATTTTTGAAGCTAATTCCACAATATCTCTGAAAAAACTAAATATACATGATTACATATACATGGTTACATATACATTACTGTTTTAATATTGTAAAGATTTTCGTCTACGTTTTCCTCTACGTCTTTTTCGGCATGACTCTTTGACTACTTTTGATCTGAATAAAATATATCGAGATTATCTCTCGATGGGCTTTTTCAACTTCTAAACCTATAAACGGATTTATTTCACGGAAAATACGTGTTTCTTATTTGATACGACGATATTTCACATATGAAAATCGCAGTGCGCGACTTCCGATCTTATTTTCAGTAGTTCGAGTCAACGACGCGGCTCGCTGCTCGCGCGTCTCGCGCGAGCGAGATTTACTACTTGTTAAGACTCGCCATAAAACGACACAACTACTTGCTAACGCGGTGCATTACCTGCGCGCGTAGAGTTGTCGGCGTAAATAGTGAAGTTTTCCGGGGAAGTTTCACGTACCTGTTACATTGACGCAAAAGGGAATAGATCGCGAAGTTAATTAAAGATTAAATATCTTTATTTGACAACGTGCAAAATTCCTTATCTCAACGATACTAGTGTAACCTTATTTCACGTTTACAGAGACTTTGAATACCAGTCGTTGCGTGTCCCTCGGCTCGTTCAACCCCGCATTTACGACTCTTTATCACGCTAACGAGAAAATAGTTTCCACATGCATCCTAATGAGAACCAATTTTCCATCTCTAATGCCAATGCTCGGAATATATCTTGAATTGGTAATATCGGGAAAGTTTGGACGTTACGATATATACTATTTATATTTCGCGTGTTATTCGTAGAATAAAATTTTATTTCTCGCATGTATTATATGTTATGCGGAATCGAAAGCAACTTTTCGTTCATTCGAGTGTATAAATTGAATCGTGCCAGCGGCATACTACGACTTTAGTAGCTTTTTATAGCTACTTTATGATAGCAACGGAATAGCATTTATTCAAAATAATTAGAGAGAGAGAGAGAAAGGGAGAGGGAGAAAAAGAGAGAGAGAGAGAGAGAAAAGGGGAGAGGGAGAGAAAAAGAGAGAGAGAGAGAAAGAGAGAGAGAGAGAGAGAGAGAGAGATTGCCATCGCTTCGTAAAGTAATCACGAATGGCGATGTAGGCAATTGTTATCGGGATTAGGCATCTACAAATGATTCATTTTTTCTTTTTCTTTCTCTATTATAATTCGTGGAAAACGAATTCCGTCGCGACATGCGTTTGCTCCGAAAACAAGAAAGACTAGAATAATATCGTTAATTAAAATAATTCAAGTTAACGTAATCCGTGAAACTCGAAATCGACGGAGCTTCGATGTATTTAATCTTTCGCGTTATAAAAAATACAGGGTGCAAATGTGTTTGGTATGAAAATACTCGAACCGAATTGAATATTTCGTCGCACAATTTTTGACGGTGCGAAAGCGATTCTCATTAAAGTACCATGCAAATCGACGGAGAAAGAGAGAGAGAGCGGAGCGATGTTCCACCCCCTCCGAATCTGAAATTATCCCGTCCGACGCGGACCGGGTCTGCAACGATTTTCGAAGACGTTGCACTCCCGGAACGGGGGAACGCATCGTCGGGGAAGATAGCTCCTCTCGCCGATGGCGGAGGAGGATCGCAGAGAGAACCGAACCGGCGCGAGTGGCTCGCGGCCGCCAAGTGCGGGAGGGGGTTGTCGCGACGGTCTCTCGCCGGGACGATCGTCGGGCGGCTCCGACTTCGCTCGTGTCCGCTCGCCCTTATCCCTACCGGCGTCGGCGCAATATCACCCCCTTGACGTAGCAAGATGGCGGCGGCGTGTCGGAGGCGTCTCCGTTCGCACAGTGCTCGACGTCGAGCAGTCCGCGTACGTTCGCAACAACGTTTCAGCAGATTAACGCGGCGTCGGCGGCAGATCGAGCGGCGGATCGCACGCGATCGCGGCATCGCGCTTCCATTACGCGCGTGAGACACGGTTCCTGCTTCCGGTGACGCTATGTCGCGCCGTCCTACCCCTCTGTAACGAACAAGTGCAGAGCGTGCTGGTTACGCGGCCGCGATCGACGTGGAAGCGGCGTGAAGAGCGAGCGGTGCCCGGAGCGAGAGAAAGAAAGAGAGAGAGAGGGAGAGAGAAAGAGAGAGGAAGCGATACGCGACTGTACTGTGCGCTCGGTACGCGATAATCTCCGAGAGCTCTTACGCGGTGCCGCGTGCTTCTTCCAATCTTCGCCCCTTCGTCCCCTTCTTCTCCCTTTCCTTTTTCTCTCTCTTTCTCTCTCTCTCTTTACCCGTCTTTCGCTCCAAATTCGTCCGAGCGCGACTTCCCCCGTCCGTTCCTCTTCGTTTCCGCTCCCTTCTGTCACTTCGCTCCCTTTCGCTCTCTGTCTTTCGGCCTGGCGTTCTTTCGCGGTACCGTGGTGAAATGCGCGTGACCGATCGCGCCTCGGAGCGACGGCGACGACGTGCCTGGCGTCGTTGGTGGTGCACGTTCCCCTGACAAGCACGAGAGACGCGCGACGGTACATCCCGTGCAGCCCTCGCTACTATGATAATAACGAGAAGCGCGGTGACGGTGGCGGCGACGGTGACAACGACGACGACGACGACGACGACGACCAAGTCGACGACGACGGCACGGTGGGCGCTCCTCCTCAAGCGAGACACGCTAGGTCGAATTTACCACAACGGGCAACGGCGATCAACGAGGACGGCGGCCCTGCGTAGCGACGCTTCCTCGGCGATGTTGTCTCGGGATTGCGGCCGTCGCGCGTTACACGGGGACGACAGCAGCAACAGCACCGACCGGATCAGCGGAAGCTCCACAGTAATCGCGTTGGCGCTGCCGTACTACTACTATTACTGCTACCGCTATTATTGCAAATACGTAGCCGCGTTGCTCGTCGACGACGAGAAGGAGAATCTGCTAATAGCGTCGATTCCAACGCAACACAAGAACGCGGACGCGGACAATAACGAGGCATTAGTGACAGCGATCAGTGATCGTCGGGATGGACTGCGTTGTTGCGCGTGACCAAGTGCCTGGCTACTACTACTCGCCGAGTCGACGATACGCACGATGACATGTAGTGCGATGACGATTAATGCGGCGAGGTGCAAGCGATAATCCGCCAGTCGATCTTTCGCGACTTCAGTTACGAGCCAATCGATAGCGAGTCAATCGGTGGTAATATAACAGTCATTCTCTCTCTCCGCGCGATCGATCGTCATCGCGCCGGTATACAGAGAAAAAAACAGTGTTACATACGAGCACGTAGAAACTCGTGTCACGTACGGTCATCGGCCAGTGTATACATTGGGAGTGGGCGGAAGAGGGTGGACCGGGGTATAGGAGAGGTCGCCCGTCGATCCAGATAAGCCGTGTAAACGCGATAAGGTACGGACGAACACTTCGTCGTGATCGCAGCGGTTAACCTGTGACAGACTGTAAACAAGATTTTACAATTGTTTTGTGTACGACACGAGGTAAACAGAGGGACGGAGAAAGATAGGGGAAAAAAACGGATCGTGTTGAGCTTACCGCGAGCTTTCAGTTCGTGTGTAACCAGCGCGTACATCGCGACCACTTGACACGCGCATATTATATATATATATATATATATATATATGCATGTATATATATGTAGGCATGCACACATGTATTCCGCGTTCGTATAACGTGATAGAAACGTACGGTGAGAAAAAGCAGGGAGAAGAAAGAGCGTGAGAGAACAAGAGGGAGGGAGAGAGAAAAAGGAGGATTATTAATATATTAAATATATATACGCGGCGCGTAATAGCCAGTATATCGTATACGAAAAAAAAAAGTGTATAGCCGGCGTTTTTTCATCGTGAAGCAGCATCACTTTCGTACGGATCTCTAGTGCACTGTTCGGCGGCCGATTAAGGACAACTCGAGATATTGAGCCGACCAACCGAGGATCCTCCGACCATGTCGCTGCTCAGCGTAACGGGTGAGTCTCTTTTTGTACTGCTTTTTTTTTCCTAAAAAGTGTCGTTTATCGAACTTGCAATCAAGCAATATTTATACAATTGTCGAAATTAATGAATGCGTGGGAAATATGTATTTGCCAGCCGATTTGTAAATGAAAATTTAGCGAAGCGACCTGAGCCTTGTTAAATCATTTTAATCCCCACCCCATTTTAAGCCTTCTAAATTTAGATTCTTTCGGAGGATTATTATTATAATTTTAGATTTATTAGTTATTGGTATAAATCAGAGTCGAAATTTTCCTCTTATTTTCAACCTCAACTTTCTCATTTGTGATTTTACAGAATTTTTTAAGAAATTTTTTTTTAGAAATTAAGTTTACTATTTTGTATTTCAATAGATTGTATAGCAAATGAACAGTTTCCTAGTAAAAGGTTTAAAAGATGAGCTTTCTCGGCAAAAATATAGATTAAATAGATTTAAAAGAGATTGATCTGACAGTTTAAAATATGAAAATAAATGTTTTAAATTGAGGTTGAAAATGTAAAAACAATTTCGATTCGGGAATACTTTTTTAAAAATTAATTTATTTATTCATTTAAAAATTAATTTACTCATTTCTAAATAATTATGGAAAGCATAACATTTGATAAATAATAAAAGAGATTAAATAAGTGACAACACTCTCGAGAATGCAAACTGCGATTAAAAGTAACAGCGTGTGAAATTGAAAAAAATCTCACATTTCGGAGCAGCAAAATGAGCGATACAGGGTTATTAAAATCTCGTACGAAAAAAAGCAACGGCTGGTTCAAAATCGTTTCTACTTCTTTACGAGGTTTTCAACGGAGAGATAAAAACTTCTTTTTGTTGGAAAAGTTCAAAGAGGATTTTCAGGCCTTTTCCGGATTTGCGTGCCGCGAGGAAAAAAAAAAGAGAGAGAGAAAACTCGGCAACTTCCGCGCGGTATCAATCATTGTTGCACCGCTGGGGATAGACGCATCAGAGGGGGGGGGGAGATACTAGACGCGTGATGTAATTAGCGCTAATGAAATCGCTAATTGCGTTAATTGGAGAGGCGGTCTGCGGTGGCGTGCCGCTGTGACGCGCATTAAGTATCACGAAAAAAATTTCTCATTTACATTTCCCGCTGCACCATCACCCCCTCCGGACGGGGTGCAACTTGCGGGGTGATGCACTTAATTTTCCAGCCGTGCCGTAAAGAAATTGTAATGCATCGCAGCAACAGCTGCCGCCTGTTACTGTTGCTACTGTTGCTACTGCTGCTACTGTTGCTGGATTATAATCTAACAGTACGATAACGCGATGCACCGCAAATCGATCGACTGCCTTTACCCTTATCATACATCTCTCGTTCTCATTGTCTCTCGCGCGCGTTGCGCTCGATTATCGACTTAGAAGCGTGATTTATATATCGTCTTGCGTTTCGCAGGCACACATACACACATATACACGTACGCACAAACACACATATACAACTGAATGCGGACGTACGTGGAATCAATATCGAAATGTTGCAATAGAACATTCCTGTAACTTGATTTTGTGATGGATGCGGACGGTTATATCCAACATGACTTAACTGATATCTGCTGTTCTAGACGAAAAATATGGGATGCGGGTAGCCAAGAAATATAATCGTGCCATAAAGCGACTTCGGAAGCGGATGCTCACTGTTCCGTGAGTAGCCGCGCGAGATCTGACTTGACATTATGACATAATTCAACGCTCGCGAAAGAACCGCTGGGAGATATGTACGTGCAAATTTCGCACATTTTTATCTGTATCATGCATTCTTTATATGTGAAAAAGTAGACCGTTAAACGTTAGAATCGTTCTCGTTCAGTATTCTTTCTGAATTATAATTCCGAATTATAATATACATCTTGATGGCGTATAATTTAGTTTAATGAGATATTAATTTTTAAAAGCGTTAATTATCGGTACAAAATTTTCTCCATCTTGTATAAGCGTTAATGATAGTAACGCCTAGTCAAGGAATATCGATTTGCAATTGAATACTTTATCATAATGTCGCGACTGATAAGCTCTCAGATGTTCTCTCTCGGTATATATTTCCGGCAGACCAAACTCGACATGTGTGAAACGACATCGTGATGCTTGTGTATATATTACATTCCGCAAGCTTTCACATATGTTCATGCATGAATCTGGAAGATGAAAATATCTACTCTCGAGCTTTTATTTTTTTCTCCTACTTCGTATAAGCAAAGTATACGGGAGAAATAGTCGACATCGTCTAGACAGGAAGTCTGTGGGAAAGAAGGGGCAACCTAAAAATATATCGACTGACAACAACGAGAAATAATGTTCGCCGCCGCCGTTGCTATCTCTTCATCCCGCGTGTATTCATAAATATCATCAGCAAGTCGGCGTACGCGGCACGTAGGGTAGGGCAAGGTAGAGACAGGGGCAACATCCGAGTCTGGTAGATTCAGGTGGCTCCTTCCAGGTCGTTCGCACACATACACGGTACGCCTAAGCCCCGTATACCGAGGCGAGCGAGCAAACGCGAGGCTCGTCCATGACTATGAGACACGGAGAGTACAGTGCAACGGTTGACCCCGGTGTACGCGGGGTCATTCCCTCCTTCAGCCACCGCTCGCTTCCGACCCCACTCGCCGCCCGCCATCGCCGCCCCCTAGCGCGGCTTTTTTTGCCGCCCTCTCCCCCTACCTTTTCCCCTTTCCTCTGCTATCCACCATCGCCTCTTTCGATCTCTGTCTTCGTCTTTCGCGGCTCGCCGCTATCGCAACCACCTCTCCTCTCTCTCTCTCCTCTCTCGCTTGGGTAAACGACGAGCAGCGATGTATCTACCAGGTACGACCTATGTAAATCTCCCGCATTATATACTACCGGGCTGAGCCAACTTGAATTTTCCCCTGTCTGTGAGTCGGGGGATGTTAGGCGTGGAGAAAACCGGTGCTGTTGTTAACCGTGGCGATTTGATATTCGTTAGATTCGCTCGTTTCTCGCGCTATGCGCTCGTAGAACGAGCGAATTACAAAGAACTCTGAGTGACGTATCGTTAAGAAGAAGGCGGCAATTTGCACGCGAAAATCGCGATCAAAATCCGGATCGGCGATTCGAGCGAGCGTGGCCGTGATTAAAGCGAATTTTACGCTTTGCATACGGTTAAGATTTATCTCTCCTTAATTTTAGATTTAGATCCTCGGAGCGGTTTGATTAAAACGATCCTTTCACGTTCGGAAATTACCTCTGGAGGATAAATACGAATCTCAAATATTCGCGAGACGCGAAATACGTGTAGACATTTTTAAAATGTACATACATTTGAATAATAATTTAAGAAGGACATGTGCTTCGACCATGTAAATATGTTGATAGAAATGTAAATTCTTCGCACCAAAGAAAAATTCCGGAGACATTTTTGTAATACACGTAAGAAAAAGCGTGATCGTAAAAACTACAATGATCGCATAAGGGCAAAAAGCGATAGTGTAAAAGCAAGTGGAAGTCTGCAAAGAGCAAGAAGTGATTGAAGAGTGCCATTACATGAAAAGGAAACTCTTTCGCTGCTCAAGCTCAATCCACTCAGGCTCTCTTTATACTTATGATCGTCTTCGCACTACCACTTGCAATCAGTTCCCATTTTTTTGTCCTGATTTTTTTAAAAAGCTTACTACTCGAAATATTACGGCTCGCTTCTGCGTTCCTCATGGTCTCTGAAAGGAGTGAAAAAGGAAACAAAAATTCGGGCGTTTGTCTGCAATAACAAGAATCTTGCAATTCAAGATGTCGCATGCGTTGTAAAAAATTTATTCGAAATTCGAGAGGATTTTCTTTAGCGAAATGACTTTTCGACGCGTTTTCTCGGTCGCACATGTGCACAGTATTGTCATTATAAATCTCTTCCTAGTGTCTTGCCCGTCAGCGAAAATATAACACTTTCAATGGCGGACGTCTCCAGCAGAGACCTACTTTCTTTCTGTCGTTCTCTTGTCGTTCTCTGGTCGTTTACGTAGTTTGCATAGGGCTACATATTCGCGTTTAGCGTTTCATCGTCATGATGCCGGAAATGTGTCATCGTTAATGGAGATGAAACGTTCGTAATAACGACGGCAATTCGTTTCGTCCGCGTTAACGACCGTACGGACATTTATTTTCGCGCGTTGTCGCTGCAGCAAAATCGCGCTGCTATTTGAGAGAAGAAGCACCATTTCTTCCTTCTAGTAACATGAAGATCCGAAAGAAATCACGCTTCGGCACGAATTGCTCATTTCGCAAGTTCTTTCCTCGGGAATATTTCATATAATAATCACATTTTTCACAACTGCGATTATTTCGATTTACGGAATATGAAAGTAATGAAACTAGCTTTCTTAATTTATTACGCGACAATGGAAATCCCACGTTATTCGAGGAATAATAAAAAAGTCATTTTTTTCTTAAAATAGCTTTTTTATTGTCCTCTACAAATAACGTAGGATTTCTTTTTTGTTTGAGATTTATCGCATTCTAGTTTGCTTGAAAAAGCTCTCATTTCTGATTCTTGTATAAAATATACATATTTATCTATTATATCTATTATAAATTATAAAACTATTATAGAATGTATTATAAATTTACACTATAGACTCTATTATAAATTTAAAGACATAGAAAAATGCACGTGTGAATAATAATATACCTTACGGAGCACTGTGTTTGCATGGGAAGAAAACTTTCATCGGGGAAAAAAGTCCTCGTAGGATGCTGATGGGAGAAACGTGAAAATGACTGTACGCGTTACGTTGCATCACCTCGTTTCTTTGATCTTGAATGTGAATTTTCGATGGACGATTTGCGGTAGTCTAGCGTACTTTAATCCGCACACGTGCGCATCCGTTTCTTCGTATATACCCGCGCTCGGGCGAGTAGTTTTCCTGAAGGGAAGAAAGAGGAAACGTTATCAGACACGGAAACCATCGTCGTCGCCATTCGCAAACGAAGGTTGATCTTATCCCACGTTTCGGAAAC